TTTAAGAAACAACACGGAAGTTACTCTCGAAACACTTGTTGATAATCTTCCATAGTTCCCCGACCTTCTGTGGATTTATGTGGCGGTATTTGGATCGCATAAAATTCTGAACATTTGCCACACATGTCACAAACAGCGACCTACCTCAAATTTCGGTTTCTTTCTCGGAAGGTTGGGACAACTTTCTAATTCGCGAAGTAGCGAGTGGATCTGGGGGTCCTTTACATCGCAGTTATTGATCACCTCCCTAACCGTTTGCGTCCATTGCTCTTGTTTCGATGGGCCAGGCCTCTTCATACCATTGTGGCTCTTACCGTACTTTTGAGCCTCCGTTAAACATGCGCTATGTGTTTTGTAAGACTCTTTGCTACCAATCAGAGAAACATGAAGAATGAAAAGCAATGTTCTGAGGACAGATATTCATAACACTGCACATGAAAACAACTCAACAGGAGACAGACAGAATCGCAATAAAGTTTTGCTACTAAAGATATATATATTTAGAATAGAAGTGAAACTTCGCGAATCGAAAAAAAAGAGCAACAGAATGGCGAGGGACCTGTTAGTCACAAGGAACTGCTGTTCTTGGTGGTGTTCTACGAGCTGGAAGTGATGTTCGCAACGTTTTGTAGCCAAGCTACACAACATCAGTGCAAATTCGGAGTTGCTCTTGCTCCGGGAACGCACCAACAACAATCGCATCCCGAGCTGCAATCATTCCACATTATTTCTGACACGGAACTACTGTTTAGCTAAAGGAACCGGCAACCTAAGATCCGAAGATTGATATTCCGAATTGTATAACCCCTTGCAAAAGATAGGTAACATAATGAGCAAAGGTATCGACCTAATCAACGGCTTGTGCACCTCTGACCAAACGAGCTACACGAGATGGCTCTTGTCGAGCCGAAGATCTAACCATACCTCGAAGGTCGAAAGGTTGAGGTCGGACGAAGTCTAGTCTCCTGGTCCTCCAAGTTGGGGGTTCGACAAGATTTTGCGTTTCAGTCGGTAAAAAATGGTGGAGGGGTAATTGATCCAAGTAAATCGACCTCCACTTTGCCTCGCCCGCTGTCTTGCGGCTAAGTTCTTGTCAGAACTGGACGCTTTGGTTGAGAACCCTAATTGTTCCCCTGCTTGGTAGCTGGACACCCTGGTAGTACCCATTCATTCAACCCCAACGTATACACAAACTTAAAAGAATTCCATACTGCATCGGTGGTCGCGCAAGATAATCAGGACTGTGCTGCCCATTGCTTCGAGCGGTGTGGGTAGTGATAAGTGGGATACTATTCAGAAATCTAAACCTTCGTTTAATTCTGTCTTTCGTACCGAGCCCCATCCATTTGCTTCTTCTTTTGACCTGTAATAGTCCATCAAGCAACTTGAATGTTGCTAGCCAAAGGTCGTTGCCAAGTAGCACTGTAAGTAATTTACCACGAAATGGATTGTGGGTTCTAAAGCCTGGTCAATCATTAAATCCGGGGGCCTTCAACATGAGTAGGTCAACAAGCTTATTTGACGTCCGATGTAGGATCGATATTTACTGCGAGCTGGAAACTCGAATTCAGGATCCTGCTACTATATGCCACTTGAACGCGCCAGATTTGTCCTAAAGGTACGTTCTTCACGCATCACTCGACGATAAAGCCCGTTCAGTTGGTCAGCGCGGGGTAGGTATTGTACTCAGTAACAGGACTGGGTCCTCCTCATCGATTGGATCCCCGCCAACAACCATTTATGTGCAGTGCGTCTCCAGGGTTCAATCAGCGTCCAGAATGGAGGCAAGATCAAAAGGTATTTGTTCATCATATCAGCACATGCACTAACCAATTGCGGTTATGATAAACAGAAGGACGCTTTCTACGATACAATCACCGATCTCATTTGGACAAGTCGTAGCTCCGACATGGTTGTACTTGCAGTTGGCTTTAACGCGCAGATTGGAAAACTGGGGGCATCAGAAGCTTCCCTGGGTGATAGTTGTACTCCACTCTGTCAACGAACAGATAACGGCGATCAAATTCTTCAGCTCTGCGCAGACCATTATCCGTTTCTATCCAGTACCAACTTCCGACACAGCTCTCGACGGACAATAACGTGGCGCTCCAGTTCATCTGGCACGCTAACTCAAATTGATTACAGAGCAGTAAGCTACCGTTGGCGTGGCTCAGTGCACAATTGCAGGTCCTATTGGACCACCAGCGTTGTCTGACCACCTATTCGTTTTGATACAATTCACTCTCCGACCGACTGGCCAGCGATGAAACTCAGAAGGCTCATCATCGCATGTCTGTTTCAGCATTTCGTGCACGCTTTGACTCAGAGCGTGAGCGAAGTGCGCTTCAACATAATGATGTAGCTGAGCACTAGGATCAGATTAGGCGAGCAATGCATCCCACATCGAATATTGCTTGTGGGTCGGAGGCATTGAGTATCTCATGAGTCAGTAGCCCTGATGGATAAAAGGACAAATC